CCGTTCTGCTCAGGGAGAGCTCCAAAAAAGGTGGTCCACTTTGCTAAAGGACAGTGAGCGTTGAAGAGCGTTCCAGCTTCTTCCTTCGGGAGAGAGATAATGTTTTTAAGGTGCAAGATGTCTTGCTATGAAAGTAGTTTCTTTCTGCAAAGCTGTTGACGGACTGAAAAGAGCACTTCAAACTGGATGATCTAGAAATTGATTGATTTTAGTATGTGTTTAAAAAAAAAAATGTTTCAACCGTTTTCCTGTTTGTCTTTACTTTGTTTTTGTTTTTTTTTGGTCAACTGTGCTCACAAATATTAACTCGTCGTTTTTCCAAGGCAAATGGAAAAAAATAAACAGTTATAAGCAGTTCTGTGATTGTTTCACTAATTTTATGTCCTTCTTTGATTTTGTTATTTCTTGTCTTGTTTTGTTAAGCACTTAATACACTTGCCTTGTGTATAGACTGTGCAATACATTTGCCTTGCACTTAAAATGCCACAGTACCACAAGCCAAAGGGAAAAGAGATTGACATAAAACAGAACAGTCACTTTTTCACAAGTTTAAAGAACGCATTCGAGTTTACTTTGCTTTATCCATCCGTATAAGGAGATCACCCCTAGAGATGTGGCGGGAAGAGCTGAGGTGGAGCTGGTCAGGGGCACATGAAGGGGATTAGAACAAACCCCAGCGGACGCCCCACTCCTTCTCCTAGGTAAGAGGCCAGTGCATTTGGCCCCATGTGGCTCCTCTTGCAGGTCACTTCCAAGGACCCTTCGTGTTCAGAATAGTCCGCTGACCCCGTGCCCCGCCCCTAGACGCTGCTCTAGTCTCGGGCCCGGACCAGTCAGACGTTCGGACGGACATCCCTTAACAGGCAGCGGCGGCGGCACTGGGGTTGCTAGCTCGTAATTAGCTCGGACAGCTCAGGCTTGGAGAAAGGCAGCCGGGCTATATCATAATGAGCTCAGCTGGGATTAGGAGGACAGGGCAGGGGGGTGAGCAGAGGGGAACACAGGAGGGGGGGGGGGCAGCAGCAGCGTGGGTCAGGAGCAGGATTCTGGCCAAGTGTAAGCACTGCGCACCGGGGCCGGAGGGAGGCAGCTGGGAAGACAAGGAGAGGGGTACGGGATGAAGGAGGGGAGAGGTGAGGAGAGGTGAAGGCGAGAGGGAAATGGGAGGGAGGAGGACTATGGCTTCAGGACAGGCTTTGTGGGGAATTGCAGAGGGTCAGTGCGCGCTGTGGTTACATGGGATACTTCAGATCAAAGACTGTGTTAGACACGACTTGGACAACTCGGGAACTTTAGCCTTAATCTGAATGATACCACCAGAGAATGGGGAGGTGAAAATTTGTCAAGCGGGAAGTTCTACAGTTCCATGAGTGACTGAAATTAAAATTAGGGCCAATATACTAATGTAATGTATGTATACTCCATACTTATTTCAAATAATTGGTTACAGCGTGTCCTATGCAAGCTGTACAAGCCAATCTAAGCTCAAAAAAGCTCTACAAAGGTCCCAACCAGGTCTAGGGCTAGTCTACGGTTTATTGACTTTGTCTTAACCCTTGTATTATGTTGAAAAAAAATGACATTGTTTATGTTGCGGGTCATTTTGACCCGTACTGTGTAAATGCACTCAAAACAGTCAAGAAAACAGGTTAAACCAATAACAACTTAGTTTTAGGTTATATAAATATTTAGAAAAGTGACATACAATACATTTTTAATTCCAACACTATATCTAAGAAATATTTAGTCTAATCTTCTTGTCCTCCTCTTGGGTCAAAATGACAATTCTTCCCTCCTTCTTTCCTCCTGCCAGGCTTTCTCCTTCCTTCTTCTCATCCTGTTTTTCTTCTCTGTGTTCATCCTCCTCTATTCCCTTCTTTTCTCTTCCTTCCTTCCTTCCTTTCTCCCTTCGTTCCTTCCTACCTTACTTCATTCCTCCCATCCTCCTTCCTTGACCAAAGATTCGTCCTCTGAATCCTCCTTATCATAGGAAAATAGACAGTCTGGTTCAGCAATAACATGGTCCTCTGTTTCTGAAATCTCTTCCTCTACATCATTATCCCAATTAATTAATTAATCTGTGAAAAAGCCTCCTCAGATGTCATCCTTCTGGAGCTCATTTTTGGTGAGTTTGTCTAAAGCCTAGCGCACATCGACAGAGTAACTGGCGACAACTAGTTGCAAGGCGGCTTTTGGCAACTGAGAGTAGATGATGGAGATGATCAGTTGCCGAAATCGGTCGATGTGAGCGCTCTTACAACTGGAGATAAACAGTCGATCTCCGGATTCAGTCAGTTCCCCGTGTTACACTTTTCGGCAACTAGTTGACCTCAGATCCAGAGATATCACCCGATATATGCGCTCCATGGCGCGCTCCAACAACATGTGTGTATTGCGTGTATTGCGCGCTCTCTACAGTTTATGCCAGAAAAAACACTGTAGTCAACGGCCAGTTGCTGTCGATGTACGCGCTGTTATTCTCGAGACTGGCCTGCTACTGTTGCCCGTTTTCGCCACATTGTCGCTGTGTGCGGGGCAGCAACTCAAAGGCGACTGATATATTCAGTTGCCTATCCAACGTACGCTAGGCAAAAGAGATGACATGAGGACAGTGACAAGGACAAGTGTGAGAAAGTTCCCTCTCTTCACACACCTGGCTCTGGGTCTCAGAGGCGATCAAAATACAATGTCAAAGAGACATGTTTTTTTGGATCTGAACAACTATTTACCCACATTAAAGCGTCTGGGTCAAAATGACCCGCAACATCATCTTTGTATACAAACTCTGCACAGACATTCCACTGCACATCAAAGTGTCCAAATTTTACACACCAGTTCATGACCCTAGATGAGGAAAAGTCACCAAATTTCAGCAAGAAAAAGAAAGGATAACAAGTCCTTTGATCAACACAAAAACTGAAATGGGTCAAATTGACCCTTAACATAATACAAGGGTTAAAGGAGATGTAATCTGCAAAATCAACTTTATGTTTACATTGTTCCCACATCAAAAACAGACCTATTTTATCCATCCACACTGAACACATATCAGGAAACTCTGCCCTCTTCTATCTAAAAGATCCTGTCTCAGTCCTAATATAACCATACTGTCGTCCCAGTTTATTTGTTTTGGCAATTACTCAAGTGAAATTACGTTCTTCGCAATACCATGGTTGTGGTTACATCCAGTATTGGAAATAAATTCTACACCTCCTGGTAGCAAAGGGTAAAGGGTGCCCTACCACCTCGTGGTAGGGCAGGCCAATAGCATTATTTACCCTTAATAAATGTTTTACCATACATTTTCTGTATTACATACACTGACAATATTAACTCTTTATGGCCTTCATGGCCTGCATATCGCTAGCAGAAGTTGTTGCAACTGCTGCTGAGACTGCACTAACATAGATTCATGAATGGGTATTGGTGTTTAGATTAACTCGTTAACACGTTGTGTGCCATTGACTCATTAATACGTCAATTGCGTTATCCGCTATTATAATGTTCCCAGATGTCTATTATATCTAGTATTTATGTGGATTAGCTTTAGAGCATATTTTATCAAACCAGCAGGTGGCAGAAGCACTGCCTCTGTATGTTTTGAAAACAGCATGCATGTGTTGCATCCTCTTTTTCTCAGCTTTTTGTCTGAGACTGGTGATTTCAGTAAAACTTCCCTCTACTCGACTGGGGATTACAGGGGAACGAAACAAGCTAGAACCAAAATATTTTTTGCTGATGAAAGTGAACAGTCCATTCTTTCAGAATCTGATTTCAGATAGTCATAGTACACAATATTCTGTGGGTCTTGAAAAATCAATAAAAATCTTTAGTACCTGTTCTGAAATCAATGAGTTAAGGTTAAACAACTGGATTTCACTAATCAAAATGAGAACTTATAACAGGCTGAATCTGCTCTCCGTTTTGAAAACCAACTTGAGAACCATGTGCAAAACAAATTAGTCATGCTTGGTACAATTGTATAGTACCCACTACCCAGTAAAGGAACATTACAATGGGGGGGTGGGGGTAGTTTGAATATTTTCAAACTACATTAACTACTACATATTATGTCTAAAAATGCTAAAATGTTATGGACTCAGACTTTTCTCCCACAAAGACCAGTCAGTAATTTTGATAATGCCATATTACTGCCCGTACTTTAATGTGTGAAATTCTGGGCGGCCAATTTTACAAATGAGCAGATTTTCTAATGATCATGCTTTTCCTCCTGCTGGCTGGTAATGATGTGGAGGGCTAGGTGAACGCTGTGAAGTTGGGAAGGGCACACTCTCAAATTCTAACACCCACAAACAAGAAGGGACAGTGGGAGAGCCAGCTGGTGCATGTGTGTGTGTGTGTGTGTGTGTGTGCGCGCGTTTGTGGAAAATTAATGAGATAAAAGTTGAGATTCAAGTGTCTATTTTTCATGTGTGATTGCAGACAGAGGCACTTACTTCTCTAGAGAGAGTTTCCTGGTGAGGTTTTTCAGATAGGCCAGTTCATTCCACACAGCATCACTGTTCTCCTGTCGTAACTGCCAGGGCTCTGCACGGAGGACCTTTCTGCCACTAGAAAAGAAAAAGTTTTCCATGCTTGCTTATTAAATAGCCTTGCAACTACCACATTTCTGGGGTTACTGTCATAAAATTACAAGAATCTTCATCTTTGTACTGTATGCTGTATTTGTATGTCTGTATGTCTTCTGAATTGAACTGAGTGATTTAATTTAATTTAGATCAGAGTTTGGGGTGGGTTTTTGTTTGCGGTTCACTCTTATCGTGTGTGTACTTTTGAGTGTATTATGTTGATGTATATGTTTTTAATATCTATATCTAAAATATATATATATATATATATATATATATATATATATATATATTACAATTTACTATTGGTTTTGTGCAGATTGATGGTTTTGTGTATAGAACAACCAACTAGAAATGGCACAATGGCTGAAGCCATTGTGAGTGGCTGCATAGATGTTGGAAGGGTTAGGGATGAAGAAGGAAGAGGAAGGGGAAGAAGAAGGAAGAAGAAAGAAAAGGGAAGAAGAGAAAAGAAGAAGAAGGAAGAGGGGGAGGAAGAAGAAGAAGGGGAAGAAGAAGGGGAAGAAGAGGAAGAAGGGGAAGAAGAGGAAGAGGGGGAAGAAGAGGAAGAAGAGGAAGAAGGGGAAGAAGAGGAAGAAGGGGAAGAAGAGGAAGAAGGGGAAGAAGAGGAAGAAGTGAAGAAGATGAAATAAGAAGAATGTGTTGTAAGGTGTTGAATGTGTTGTAAAGTGCTAAATGTGTTGTAAGGTGTTGAATTTGTTGTAAAGTGCTAAATGTGTTGTACGGTGTTGAATGTGTTGTAAAGTGATAAATGTGTTGTAAGGTGTTGAATTTGTTGTAAGGTGCTGCATGTGTTGTAAGGTGTTGAATTTGTTGTAAAGTGCTAAATGTGTTGTAAGGTGTTGAATTTGTTGTAAGGTGCTGAATGTGTTGTAAGGTGTTGAATTTGTTGTAAAGTGCTAAATGTGTTGTAAGATGCTGTAATGTATTGTATCTGTGGTAATGAATTGTTAGTGTGGTAATGTGTTGTATGGGGAGTAATCTGTTGTACTGGTCCAATGTAAGTCTATGGGAAAAAGTGCTTGAACTTTTGTTAATATCTGAAAAAGTGCTAAAGGTGGAAGTGTGAAAAGTAATAGCAATAATGAGACGGTGAAGCCGGTCGTAACGATGTATAATTTGTTGAATTTGGTGAAAGCGTTGAAGAGTGCCAAAATCTGGCAGCAGCAGCAGCAGCAGCAGCAGCAGCAGCAGCAGCAGCAGCAGCAGCAGCAGCAGCAGCAGCAGCAGGCAGCAGCAGCAGCAGCAGCAGCAGCAGCAGCAGCAGCAGAAGAAGAAGAAGAAGAAGAAGAAGAAGAAGAAGAAGAAGAAGAAGAAGAAGAAGAAGAAGAAGAAGAAGAAGAAGAAGAAGAAGAAGAAGAAGAAGAAGAAGAAGAAGAAGAAGAAGAAGAAGGAGGAGGAGATGAAGAAGAAGAAGAAGAAGAAGAAGAAGAAGAAGAAGAAGAAGAAGAAGAAGAAGAAGAAGAAGAAGAAGAAGAAGAAGAAGAAGAAGAAGGAGAAAGAAGAAGAAGAAGAAGAAGAAGAAGAAGAAGAAGAAGAAGAAGAAGAAGAAGAAGAAGAAGAAGAAGAAGAAGAAGAAGAAGAAGAAGAAGAAGAAGAAGAAGAAGAAGAAGAAGAAGAAGAAGTAGAAGAAGAAGAAGAAGAAGAAGAAGAAGAAGAAGAAGAAGAAGAAGAAGAAGAAGAAGAAGAAGAAGAAGAACTCAACAATCCCTGGTCTCTTGCCATGAGTATGGTCGGATACTTCATTTCAGTGTAATGGACCTAGTTATTCTACTGTATCACCAAAATGGATGATTGATTGATCTTTGATAAGGGACAAACTTAATAGTGAATACCCTATCCCTGCTCAAGCATCAATGGGGCCACAGAATGCATACGTATATTAACAAGGGACCTAGGTGGTACTGTATGTTACCTTGCTGCCTCATGCAGATTCACATTGGGTAACAAGGCCCCTTAGTTCCCCTGTTTTTGTTATTCAGCCATCTTTAGCAGCATTCAAATGAGCAGCCTTGACTTTGACATTTCAGTGGAAAATCATGTACACACACACATATGCATGTTTGCTAAAGCCCAGGGCACTGGCCATGTGGCAGGGTAGTGGGGCACTCCCTGTGCACAATGCAAATGTAAATAATGGCAAAAATACACTTGCAAACGAGGTCATTCAAATGTCTACACCTCACTTATGAATACTTAATGACAATTTGTGCTCTGTGGCCAAACTCTCCATTGAAGTCCAACTCCTCTACACATACGGTCCCTTTAGACCCAGTGGCATCGCTGCTCACCACCATCTATCAATCACATTCAATTTCAATAAGACTTTTATTTGCCAAATATACTAAACAAAGTGAAGATTCTAGATTGAAAAGTTAGTAGACAATAGCACATTTTTCACAGAGAATTGTTTCTCATTTTCATGTAATCGATGAGAAATGACACAATAATGGATTGTCAGTCACAGCGGAGGACTCTTTAACATGGTCATTATTGTCTTTGAGGATACCAACATGCTACACTGATACTACTTAAACCAAGGTGCTCGGGAGATGGAAGCTACTATGGAACAGCAAATGTTTTTGTTTAATACAGTTAATGCCCCTGTGAGCAATTTAAAAATCCCCTCAACTGTTTTGCAGCATATGCTTGCCGAGTGTGTGTGGCCAAAGTGAAAGTAGAAAAATGTCAGTTCTTCATAATTGTTGCCTTTATATTAAAACATTAAAACATTTCTCAATGATTAACACAATAGCTTGACACAGCACAGACATCAAACAATGACTGAAACCAAATTGGGAGAGCTATGAACAAAACAAAGACATTATCTTTGATGGGCTCTAGATCAACAGCTAAAGAGATGAAGAGAGTATGCCTTGAGGAGGATCATTGTTTTTGAAAATGAGGTCGGGAAATGTAGGTAGTATGTCAAGAGGTGCTGGTAAAACACCACTGGTTAAACATCAGCTGCATAGTGGTGCAAGGTGCATGATTAAGACATGGTAAACCTTTAATTTGTTTACAGTGGGGAGAAAAGCTGTTGAACACAGAGCCTTGAGAGAACCATCTTCAGGCCTCACTACTCGCTTCCCTGTGGTAAGCTGGATTCCATTATTAAGCAGGAGGAAATAGAGAGAACTTTTCCACACCGCTGCGGCTAATTGCTCTGATTCAGGGGGAATCTGTTTATGGGAGCAACTTTGATCAACATACGTATGCCTTAATAGCCTATAATTTTATTTGCTCACCCCCATAATCCAGAGTCTGATTAAAAAACTTTTTCCCCTTTCTAATATAAATATAAAAGTTGCCGTTTCCCCACTCTCATTCAAGCCATTTTGGGAGAATACGATGGTGATAGTGAATGGCAGATTGTTTTCATTTGGGCAGGTGTGAAGTCCTGCATGTTGATAAGATGAGGAAATATTCAGCTGTGAGGTGATTGGTTTGTAGTTGGGGACTGGACAGGGCATAATCCTGATGCCATTTAATATAGTATATATGAGGAAAAATATAAAATGTATTTAATTTAGGAATTTTAAAGCGGTTCCTGAAGAGGCCCGTTTCTGTACAGTATGTGACCTGGGGGTGGTAAAGGATGAGCCTCATTTTGTTTTGTATTGTCCTATAGCAAAAAGTAAATGCTTCTAATCCAGAGGTCTTTTGGTGGCCTGAGGGAGAAATTATGAACTGGATGTATAGCCATGTTTTTGCCTTTGCTTCTTCTGTTGCTAAAGCCTGGGAGAGAAGACAACAGATTCTGTACTCTGTATGAGGCACCAAATTGTAAATTGTTTTCTCTTTTTCATGTATGTACATGTGGTTCTATTGTACATTCTGACATTATTAAAGTTATTATTGCACAGATGAGTCAAGTAAAGTGACACAGGTGGTCCATTGAAAGCTAAAATTATATACATATTATTTTACAGACATCAATAATATGTGCTGTTTACACAAGGATGCTGCAACAGAAAAGCGATAGAGTTGGGTATCGGATTGGCCTTTTGTTTACATGATGACGGTTTTTCCGGGAGGTGAAAACATTGAGAAATACCTCCAGAGTGGAACAGAACAGATACGCTGCGCGGCTGGGGGCTGTTTCACGGCCGCGTGAAGAAAAAGGTATGAATTCTGTGGCTGCAGTGACCCCCACTTACCCGCACGTACATTTGGACATGCGCAGTAGCAAACAACGATGGCGGCGGATTAACCAATGCTACGTGTGCTTCGAGTGTTACACGGAGGAGAATTCTACTCCTTCGTCCGCCCAAACAAAACGACGCAAAGCTGTAGTTTCACTTTCCATTTTTGCGGCTGCTGTTAAATGCAGAGTGATCTTGGTGCATTCTTTCCCCTTTTGCGGTTGCCTGAGAAGGATGTTGTTGAGGAAGTGGTTATACTGGTGGGGGTCGCAAGTGTTGTATTGTAAAGTTCCACTGCTCACTACTGGCCGGGCGCTAGAACTACATGGTTTTCCGTTGTTTTTGCTAATTGCTTTGCAGCGTCTCTGCAGCATCTCCGTCTAAACCAGGCCATAGATGTGTGGAATGTATGTGCGTGTATTGGCTAAGATATGGTATGACAAAATGAGTTCAAGACTGAGGGGAGGCAGTAACTTCAGATGAAATGATAAAAAATAAATAATCTGTGAAAACTCTAAAAACGTATTGTCTGATTTTATCGGCAAAACAATAAACTGGTTAGTCCCTAGTATATACTGTAGCATGCACAAAACTGGGGTCAAAAACATCAGACCCCCCCCAAATTGTCCAAAAAGGCAACAGCACAGCATGGGAGCTACTGTGGAACTCCCTAACAAGCGAGGAAGGCCATCAGACTCACTGTTCGACTCAGCTGACCGTTAGGGGCCTGATTTCCCACACTAATGGAATTATTCAAGCCATTTTCCACTGTCTCCAGTTCATGCTGGCATTACCCCAGTGTGTTTATCGGCTGTTTAGAGACAGGGCGTGATGCCAAATGAACACAAGGATCATAACATTGAGTGACTGGCTGGTGCCATGGAGAGCCTTTGAGTGAAAAGGGCAAAGCTGCCGATTGCATCAATTATGTGTCCAGCCAGACATGAAACACAAATATGGCTGGCGTGAGCACAAACTCATTTAAAGTGTGGTGCCATTGAAGATTCTGTACTGGTGAGCAGAGACAGGGCTTGGTAATCACAGGCTACCTCATGATTCCGGTACAGGATTTAACAGAAGATCACCACAACATCATGTGGAACTTCATAAAATGGACTTCAATAATTTAGCAAATGTGTTCTGCACAAATATGGGTCATACATACTTTAATCATAAAAACAGTGCAGGTAATGTATACAAACTTTTCTTTGTCTGAACAAGAACTATAGCACCCTGTTAATGCTGTTTTAACCACAGTCCTTCCTGACAAAATGCATCGTTCCTGCATTCTTTATTCTTGGTTGCATTCCAAGTTCTGTTGTAAAAGAGTACAGCTCAGCTCAGCCTTGTGTCCAAAACTTGTCTGCCCTCAGTCAGGCTGTAAGGTAGTCTTGAAGAAGATAAGACACACCTCCACTTCCACACAGTCAAAGTTTCACAATGAGACCTTTGGTAGCATATCAATCAAAGAAACAGTAGCATTCTTGGGAGATGGGACCACATCTCTCAAGTTCTATGCTCCAGTAAAGTGAGCATACAACCCTTCTATAGACAGTCTATAGCTAGCCACATAGAGAAATGATTAAACATGATAACGTCCATCCATCCATTTTCTTCCGCTTCATCCGTTGCCGGGTCGCGGGGGCAGCAGTCTAAGCTGAGACGCCCAGACTTCCCTATCCACACACACTTCCTCCAGCTCGCCTGGGATAACGTAAACATTCCAATAACACACCCTTACAAAACGTTGTTGTAATAATTATGTATAAAAACACTCCAAGCTTTATCAATATGGCATTATATGATAACAATGCTGTATCACAAGCAGGAACACACCCAAATTCCACCCATTTCCTCAGGTGAGTGCAGATTTAACCTAAAGATTTGAGGAAATGGTCTGGAGTGCATCTGCTCAGGTTGCAAATAAAACCTGCAGCCACACTGGCCCTATCTAGAACCGGTTTGACACCCCTGCATGAGAATCACAGTTAATCATCATATACACACATGGAGAGATTCCAGAAAATCTTCCATTCCATTATTAAAGCCTATAATAACTAAACATTATACAATGTAAACTTCAAAATGCTTACCAGACAAAAAAGGACACAAACTACTGGTAACTTATCCGATTGATGGACATGTCAATGTCCATCAAGTGGACAAGTCCCTACTTCCATAAACGTCTTCTCAAAGTGCTAAAGGCGGCAGTGGTACAGAATGTGAGTGTTGCCTTTTGTTCCACAGCCTCACACACATGCTGCTGAGCCACACTGAGCTGACATGAGCCACGAGGAGCCAGGAGGAGCCTGCTACTGCAGATGCTCCCTCACTTCCTCACTTTCACACGGGCTCACGTTGCACCACTGTTTTCTTTAATTAACCCAAAGAGAAAACATCTGACAGGGTCAATGCTGGCTCCCGCGAGGCCATCTAATACTCCTTTAAGTTACACACATTCAAATGGAGTTTAGGTTTAAAGTTACCTTTCATTGGTCATTTTGGTAGGAAAGAACATTTTTATTTTACTTTTATTGACCCCTTTATGACAAGGAAAGTCTAGCTCTCAGTCTCTTTTTCAGGGGAGTTCTAGCCCTAGAGGGGAGAAACA